CAGGAGAAGAAAAATATTGGGTTGACCAGTAAGTTCGTGCCGCTTTATAAGGAAAATTGAAACCCTGTTCTCTTAAATTTTTGGAAATGTTTTTAAATTATATTGGTACGACTCTATACCTAAAACGTATTTTATTACTGGATAAAATTTTAAAAATTAGTTTTTATGTCAACCATTGAAATGAAATTATTCACAATATAGAAATTTTTGTGACGTTTGATAATGGTGGAAATCCGAAAATGAATCCACTTCAGCTACAGTCTATTGTAAGCTTTATATCGAAAATCAGAACGAACTTTCCGGACAACCTATAATGTTAATACAAAGTGTCAAATGAATGTAACAGAAGTAGTTTATTCCAAATTGTATCACAAGTATATAGAGATAGAGTTCAATTTTGTCAAATGTACCGATGTTTTTGCGCACCTTGACTGCTTCGTTACTTATGACGCTGTGGCTGCTACGATATTTATGAGCATCTTGCATGTACTCATATATTTGACGCTGTGTATGTACCGATGTATTTGAGCAGGGTGAATGTATCTATTATTTTGAGGACTTTTGTTGTACCGATATAATTGAATACTTTTGGTGTACCTATATATTTGCATATCTTGTCTGTGTCGATCTATATGACGCTGACTGTACAGTCAGCTGCATAAATATCTAACATTTACAAAGCAAAGAATACATGAACCTATCCATGCGTATTATGCTTCCGACACCGAAGTCTGCTATTTACAAATACGTGTAGGAGTATGCCAGTTTCTAATATTTTGTAAATCTTGCTAATATTATTAGTGGGAAAGTTAAGATGGATTAATGGATGGACGATTGTTAAAAGGTATTGGCACAGATGTAGAACATAGTCTGGATGAACACCTAGGCTACTTTTAAGTTTTTCTTTTAATTAGACGTGGACTGAATCGCTGGCGGCACAAAGTGCATACATATTCTTGTAGCTGACTGTACTTTATAAAAGTAGAGTAAGACGAAGTATTGATTGTGTGAAAGTTATGCGTAAGCATGGATTGAATTCAGATATGCCAGCTGATAAGAGATTTATGGCGGCGTAGTACATTGACGATCCTCCTTAGGAAAAAGGTCAAATAAACTAACAGACCTTTGGTATAAATTACCGATAATTACACTACAACTGTGTAGACATTAAATCGCTCTTCAATTCACCCTTGTCTAGACGGACACATTGCCCTTCGTCTGTCTTGTCTACGGGTCGACGAACTTACATAGAAATACATTTAAATAAATTAATATAAATTTGCCTATATTGTACCTTGCGACGACTTAGAATAATTTTTAATCTATATTTCAATAAAAATGTTTTACTAATATTATGTTTCTTTAAAGTTATCTTCAGAACGGCTGTATGGATCTCGCTGATATTTGGCATACATATAGAACATAGTCTGTAAGAACACATAGATTGATTTTATTCCGTGCGGACGGAGTCGCGAGCGAAAGCTAGTACTTAATAATAAAGTTTACGATACTATTTTTTTTAAGAACGCTACGTCCAATTTGAAAATCGCTATCGATCCGATACACTGTCTTTTTATACAGAAGTTTAACCAATATATGACTTGGACTGTGACATCGAGATTTGTTGTTTCAGAGATCTTTATCTAATAAAGGAGAATGAGCGGGATGAAAATATATTTTTGGACACACATATCAGCAGTGTAAACACACGGTTAGTATGATGTAAATATAAATGGTGTAATAGCTATGAACATCTGTTCACAAACATACGGTTATTTACGATCAAATCCGAAGCTGTACTGAGTTTGTACCATAAAATGTACCAGATGTTGATACTGGAACCAATAAATCGTACCAGCAAAGACTATAAGCTATTACGTGGTTTACTAAATTCCGTAACTTTTAGTTGGTATCTTCGATTGAAAATATTAAAAATGCTCAAACTTTTGTAAGTATTGATATGTGTAAAGTCAACCAACATAAATTGAGCTATCACGGTTGACTATGGCTTATTCACCCCTTGACATAGGATAGGCTCCGAGTCCTTCAATGGGGACGTATAGCTGATGATGTTAAACTTAGTAACGAATTACGAAGCATTTAGCAAAAGTTTAACCTTTAATCCGGCTTGACCTCTGCTTGTGACAAACAATTGTTCAATTGACGCGACTGAAAGACTAGATTAACGAACATGTCTAATATTACAGAATACAACCCGTCACAATACTGAGTTTGTAAACACGTGCAAAGAGATATTGCTATCTCTTTTTATTCAAAAAGAATAAAAAGGATAGAAGTATATTTTGCATAGGGGTTAAAGCAGTGTGAACACAAGAATAAAATGCAAAGCATAAACAAAACTTTGAGTTTCTGTAGACCTGCATAAAAACATGACATCTCTTTCATTGTTATTGAATAAAATAGAGATAACTATACGTTTTATATATTTGTTTCGGTAGTGAAAACACACAGTAGTATGTGCAGACTGAGGCATGTATGATTCGTTCATTAGGCATGGTAATTATTGTAAGGAAACCTTAATTGCCTGATGACACATTCGTTAGTTTACATAATCGTAGTCAAGTGGAAAACTAAACTACATTTGTACAGTTAGCCACAGAAATAAGTATACACTAGCCGTCCTAGTCCTCGAGGAATAAAAAAAATCTTAATAAGTAGCGTATGTGTTCTTCCAGACTTTGTTCTACATGTGTGACAAATTTTATCAAAATACGTTGAGCCGTTTCGTAGATACCTTTAAATAAACATCCATCCATCTACCCATACAAACATTCGCATTTATAATATTAATAATATTTACAAAACATTAAAAAATTGTATATGCTTTGGTTTTTTGGAAGAATATGTATGCTCTACACCATTCTTCCGACCACGAATTCGTACTATTGATAATAGGTGCTAAATATTTTTG